GTTTTTCTTTCACTCTATTCTTTGGCAGGAAATTCACAAGAGTGGTATACATTACAGAGGGAACCGAAATTATAAAAGGAAAAGAAAATGCTGTAAAAAAACTGTATTCGTAGTCCAGTTAACCGAAAGTAACCTAACTTTTAATAAATTACAGTTATCTCTGCGAACTGTGTGCGTTGTGATAAGGCGGAAAGTAAATTGGCGGTTATCAAGGCATTACTGTGACTCAGCTGACGGCTGTACTCATGTATCTTGTCCCTGAGCTTGTCAGTCATCTCCGTGTAGTCATGCCTAACATTTTACACTGTGCCGAGCCGTAGCCTGTATGTCGTACAGTATGTTGTATTATAATATAGTAATATATAATAAATAATACAGTACGAAACGCGGTGCAATACCTTCATGGGATGTCTCCTTGTCAGAAATGGATCAGCCACAGGTTCGACAGGACAAGATGGTAACCTTTCAATGTCATTTTAAGGTATAAGTTGTATGTATACGAATTCTAGCATTTTTAAAAATTACATATATATGTGTCTCATTAATAAACTTTTCAATTTCCCATATATAATTATTAATTTAGTAAATTTTGTGATTTTAAAAATCTTAATTTAAAAAATTAAACCATAGGATTTAATGTGTTAATGTAAATATGGATAGATATGAGGATATTGATTTTATATATTTTTTTTTTCATAATCATAGGCACAATAAAAAATATTTGAGAAAGCGAATTGAAAAAAAAATATTTATACTAATTTAGCTTCAGGGAGGAAACGATTTAAAAAATATATATTAGTTTTTAAAATTTTAATATAAAACTAATAGCACTAATATAAACTATAATAGCACTAAATATAATTATTTATCTTTTATCTATCAAAACTTTACACTGTCCAACTTTTTAAATAAAATGTTAAGAGTGAATTCATATATGTTTACAAAATATCGATCCAATATTTCTTATTTTAAACATCACATACATTTTTTTAAATTTCATCATTAATTATTTTAGATAATTAATAAACGTTTATAGTAACTATTAATTGGAGAATTCTTAAGAATAATATTGTATTATTCAAAGCTTACAATTAAATATTTATTACAAAAATCTTTAAAGTAATTAAAAATTGGTATAAATGATAATCCAATTATTATAATTTTATGACCTTCAGTTATATATTTATATATGAAAAAATAATGCTGTTCCTTATTAAAAACTTATTGATCTCGAAGTTTAAAAAAAAATTTCAATTAATTTTTTTTTTATAATTACTAAGTTTGCCTTAAAGTAGAAAAGTCGTCTAATTAAAAAATAACTGCCTCCTTTATTTATTGAGAAAGAAATACTTATTAGTAAGTATTTAAATACTTATAAATAAATTTAAAATAAATGCTAAAAATTAAGAAAGAAAAAATCTTTTTCTTCATAAAAACAAAAATTGCGGTAGGATTTCTTCGAGAGATTTTTTTTTTTCTTATGCTCAAGTCGTTGGTCATTCAACCATCCAGCATCTTGCTGCCCAGTATAATTTAGATTTTATATATATATATATATATATATATATATATATATATATATATATATTTAAAAATGTCTTTTCTCTGGACATGTGTCTAGATGGACTGCATTCATTATTCCTTGATGGCACAATTTATAACTAGGATCCTCAGGCACGCCTACCTTCTATCTTTTCGAGAAATTTAATGTGTTAATTGTTTATAGATTTAATATATTAGTGTAAGCAAAAAAAATGTTGATACTATTCTATTTTCTATATAATGATGATGAAATATCTTTAAAACGTAAGGGAGGACAATTTTCATCACTTTCTTCAATGATAAATATTTTATATTTAGATTTACATAAGAATGATTACAGTATTGAAAAATAGGATTCGTAAGTTAACAAAAAAGAATATATAAATTAAGTACATGAAACCCACGTTTCTCAGATTACTTGCATTACATAAATCCGGCTTGGTCCAGTTTCGATTTGGTCTCTTGATCGAAACGTCCCTGGGCATAAAAGATTAGCATTTACGGGATAAGACTTTTCAGAAATGGTTAAATTTAAATTCTAAATCTAATCATTAGACTTAAATTCGGAGAACCACGAAACCATCGAAGAAATAAACACAGATACAGTATCTGATAAACATAAATAAACCCATCCTTCAAGTGATGTTGATTATTCTTTCTCCTTATCTCTGAAGGATATTACTTTTTATTAATAATTGTTTACAAAGTCATTTCAATATGCGCCAATTATAATTGTTTTAAGATGAAGAAATATTGAAGCAAAGTTTATTTGTCATAAGTCAAATGGAATAAGACTGTTTAGCTGGTTTTGTAATATAATTAAGAAATAAACAATAAATAATATCGCAGGAAATTATTTCCTCATTTTAATTAACAAGTAATTTTAATAATTGTCATTCTGAGTTATGAAGGAGTTGAGGACATTTTGAGGGTTTGACATTTTTTGTCAGCGCTTCATCGAAAGAAACGGGGGTCGGAAAAACAAAACAAAAAAACTGGTTGATAAATTGGCTTAATAATAATTTTCATTAATTATCAGCTAATGACGTGGGTTTCGAGGAGACAATTTATATTGCCGTCATGTGTCTTATATGAAGCAAGATCAACTAAGGTTCTTATTATTTAATTTTTTATTGAGAAATAGTAAAATTTATTATCGTTTATAATATCTAAAAATATGTTTAAAAATCGATTTTAGAGGATTCATAAATTACATTTTTGAAAATTTGAATTTTTTTTTAAATAACAAATAAAATTAGAAAGTAAAAAAATCTATTTATATCTAATATTGAATATATTAGAATAGAATTCAAATTTAAGTGAAATAAGTAATTATGTAATACATGATTTCATTTCTTTGATGTTTATTTCTGCTTTTAGATACTGTATTATGATAGCTTTCAATTATTGTAACTTAATTGTCTAATAGTTTCGTACAGCTTTAAGATAATTTAGAGGAGTATAGTTTTATCATTTATGATAATGTCTTTATTATCATTAAAACAATAACTCATGGTACCAACCAATTTTTTTTCGACAAAAATATACTAATTGTAACATTACTGTTAAAATATTATTTACAAGAAATGACGTTAAGTAAAAGTATGATGAAGGTGATAATTTCTTTTTTATGTGATTATTTTCTGCATGCCACCCAAATTTTTACTCAGTTCTCGCCTCCTACAAAGAAACACAATGTTAGTAATTTACATACTATAATACTTCCGGCTGCTCCTTTAAAAATTCCATTGTTTCCTAACTTAAATAAAGTACATCAAAGCAGAAAAAACAATATCAAGAACTCTAAGATTTCAAAAATAAATAATTGCTAAGTATATTTCTTCTGTATTACATTATTATAATGATGCTTAATAAAAGTGTAAGCGTTCGAGGAGTAGAGCAAGGCAAGATGTAAATGGGAAATTTTTCTTATGTATGATATATATATATATATATATATATATATATATATATATATATATATATATATCATACATAAGACAAATTTCCCATTTACATCTTGCCTTGCTCTACTCCTCGAACGCTTACACTTTTATTAAGCATCATTATAATAATGTAATATATATATATATATATATATATATATATATATATATATATATATATATATAGGTATTGATGGGACCCAAAGGAGGTAAAATAAGTGGGTAATTTTTTAGTTGATATTAGGAACATCCAGATTTTACTATACGCGTACAAAGTATGGATTTTTTAATGTTTTCTGGATTCGTTTCATACGTGATAAGTATTTTGAATAGTTTCCAAAATAAAAAAAAAGAACTAAGAATATCATACAACTTCCCAGAAAAAAAAGAAAGAAAATAAATAAAGAAAAAAGGATTAAAATAATTATTTAAAAAAAAATATATAGTTGTGAATTCATTTGAGTTTCAAGGTACTCCTCACTACTCACTACCATTTTTATTAAAACAATTTATGTTCGGCATGTTCGGCAATTCCGAAACAACTGTACAAACAAACAATACCCGATCAATTCCGATTTCAATGGTTGTCTATACGATGATGTGTGATCTTACAAAACATTGTACAAGGATGAACGATATTGAATTGAAGTTCATCCAAAAATAACTAAATTGTTCTTAGATTTTTGATAGCATAGTATGATCTTAAGATTTATTATCAACTAGCTGATGTACCCATCGTTGACCGGTGTATAGTTAAAATTTGAGAATCTTTTTTTGAGATGGATATTATGTTATGGGGGAGAGCTTATTTTCATAAAATTGGGTGAGGAGGAAGAGGTAATTTTAAATTTTAGAAGTTTTTATTTTAATCCTAAAAATGTATACGACAACATTTGTTAGGATCGGAATGAAGAATGACTGATTAAATAGAACGGAAAGTTGAAAAATGAGTGTGTTTTAAGCGACAACGCGTTACAGATGTTTGGTATTTCGGATTTTTCCCGTGTCCCGACTGTTAAATATGGCTCGCGGTAGAGTAGGACAAATTACTCAAGAATTCATAACTCTGGTTCTATTCAATATTTTGTTTTCATTTAAAGCCTATGTTTTAAGTCAAGGAAACCTTAATATAATGTAAAAATTTAAAAAGTCTATAATAAGCTATTGCTGAGCTTACCCCTGACAAAATTTCGTTGCAATGCGGACATACAGAAAGACAAAATAGTTTTAAAAGTGGATTTGGTCTCTGTAAAGTATGAAACGGAAAGATATCATGAAACGGGTTGACATCAATTCAATGTACAGACAAAATCTTTATTTTATTTATATATATTATTAAAAAAGATAAATTGTCTCCATTCGTTTATCTATCAGAAATTGATGTATAAATTTGTTAAAGTAATTCAGAATTTGTTTATCAATTTAATGTGCTTAAATATAACTTGTCGATCAGTTTTTGTGTATTGAGAAACATTAATAAAGATAACAATCCTTTATCGATCTTATTCAAGTATGATAATTGTTTGCAAGCGTTACCCAATACGCATTACAGTTGACAAGTTCCTATACGAAGCTACTCCTCAACACACTCTGGAGCAGTCAGATGCAGCTTCCTACCCACTTGTTAGACAAATCTAATTCCGCTGTTTTCTTAGGACCCCTTCCTAGGGGGCCGGACTTCCACTTTATTCTTCAGTTTAACGGCCCGATGGCCATTTCAGTAGGGGGAGGTCTTTTTGCCTCCGGGGTAAGGACACTGGACTGTGAAATTAGGGCTGATTGAGACAAATATGGAGCTTATGTAAATATTTTTTTATACATTCCGACTAGCGGACCCTTCATTCCCTTCAATCAAAGTGTCCCCTTCAATATTTGCTCAAGACAATTTCCAAAAACGTTTTTACAAACCCCACCAATAGAAGTTTTAGATAATTTGGCAAATTTCCTCAATTGTTAATACCAAGAAACGAGATTCCGATAAACTGAATTGGCAAAAAACTTCTCTTACCTCTACACAAATCGGGCTAATGAACATTAAATATTTCAAAGAGGAAATATCATAACTAATGAATACCATCTAGTCTTACCATTTCTCCTCTTCTTGTCATCATTGTTACAGACTTTGTTGATCTTTTAATGCACCTTTTCTATCTTTGCCTGTCTTAGGCTGTTTCTTTTTAATTATGCAGCTGTATAGCATCTTTTTTGATTCAATTGATCCATCTGATTTTGGACCTTCCACGTAGTCTCTTGTCTACAATTGAGGCATTTGTTGTTGTATAGATGCTTCCTGATGTATTGCTCCGAGCTACGCTCCGCACCCATCCATGCATGCCTTCATGTCATGAGATATAGTGTGACCAATTTCTGTAAGAAATTGTTTTAATGAAAAATCAACTCATTGCACAAATGAATTAAAGATTTATTGTTTATACGTATTGTGATTTCAGATTTTCGTTTTTTATTTTTTTTTTTTTATAATATTCTGTCTCGTGGACAATGATTATAGTGATAAATGAACACATTCACACCATATATACAGAAAATATAAAATTAACAAAAGTAAAATAATAAATAAATAATAATAAAAAAAAACTATGTACAATAAAAACTAAAATAGCCTAAAGATAAGTTAATTAAAAACATAAAAAACACAGTCATCCCTATATACAATATATACAATCAGGCAGGGAACTCAAAGCCAGGCTTCTCCCTCTAACTGTAGAAGGAAAAGCAGCTCTAACAGATCCCTGCGCTACTCTCTCAACCAAGTCACTGGTGATGAAGCCAGTGTAGTTTGAGCGAGAGCGCTTTAGCCACATACATTCATGTCTTGAGTGGAGAATCTGGCCATTGCCATAACTCCAAGATATATACTATAAAAGATCTCTGGGCCACTGCCGCTTCAACCTTCGAGGAGGGTTGTAGGGGTGAGTGGAACTAGATAGGGATTGTGCTAGGGGATTTGGATGATTGATAAGGTTCTGATGGAATTTGGAAAATTCTTGAGAGATAAGGTCAAGGACAAATGGGATATTTCATTGGGTTTTGTTGCTTATGTAGGACGGAGCATCGACTAATGTTCGGAGGACTTGGATTGAAAGGATTGGATGCGTTTGATGTTAGGAAATTTTGCTGTTCCCCAAAGTTCAAGTCCGTAGGTCCAAATAGGTTTCAGCATTGTCTTGTAGATCAGTAATTTGTTGTCAATTGAAAGTTGAGATTTTCTTGTCAGTAGTCTGTATAATTGGCCGTTTTTAAAATTTTAGATTAGATTTTTTTTTTGTAATTAGTAAAAATCTCAAATGCGTCCGTTTTTTAAATAAAAGATACAATAAAGATCTTAGGAATGGTGTAGAAATAAACTTTTTAATGAATAAAATTAAACATAATAATTTTAATAAGTATATATCTATAGTCTTTAAAAAGCAATAGCGCACAGTACAACCCTTCATCTGACTCCCTAGTCATTGAATTGATCGAGATCCTCACAAAATTTTGTTACTGGGGAAAAAGGAATCCGTATCAACTCTTAGAAATAATAAAAACGTTATCAAGCGGTTAACCCTTGGCTATCAGTGCGGGTCCCGCACCCTTCTCCTTATCACCTCCACCGCTCCCTATCAGCCCGTGCCCTCCGACGGGTGCAGCGGAGGATGACACTGACCTAGAACATGGCAACAGGATGGCCTAATGAGGCTATCAGTTAGCTGCTCTGGCCTTGCTCATCAGTGGGGCCACGGGGGAAGTTGGGGTCTTCATCAGGCCTCTACTGTTGGGGGACATTAAGACTGCATTGGGAAGAGAGGGAGGAGGGGGAGAGTGGCGCATTGCAAAGCTCGCGACACTAAATCATTAGGATTTTCCGACTAGGGGATAATGAATTTTCCATACAAGATTATATAGGATGTAAGACATCCTTAGTAATATTCGAGATGAAGTAAAAACAGTATAAAAAATACAAACAAACTCAATGAAAACGAAAGCTGTGATAATAACATATGATTAAGCACTTTACTATTATTGCTAATACAGCTGCCATGGAACGTATCCTGTAACCGCTTTATTTTATAAATAGTTCTTGAATTATTTATTTTATTATTTTCATTTCTGTAGCCTACTTTTTATTTTTTAATTGTGAATACAGCGTACTTTTTCCATATGGAAACGATAAAAATTTTAAACGGCCCAGACTACAGAAATCTTTATTTGTATTTAAGAAAATCCATTAATTATAGATGTGAATTACTGAGAGAATAACTTAGAATAAGAGGTATATAAGTTTATGTTCATGTATACTTGTATGCGGATTTTGATCTCGCGCTAGGGAAGACAACGGCGTATAAAGGTCATTCGAACTCAGTAATTATTTTATCATTTAAACTTCGGTTTATCGGTATAGCAAGACAACGCGTTTTTTGCACACGCGTTAGTCCGCTCGGCTTCCTCGCTTATGTTTACAGCATACAGTATTTATAGATAAGCTCGTGTTATAGTTAACTGTCCTGTGATAAATTTGCTCAGTAAAGCGTTTTCATCTTGAAAGATTTTCCTAACTTGACTATTTACGAGGATATTGCAAATAACTTTTTATTCTAGAATGTTTTTAATCTGACCTAAGATTCTCTGGTGGATCGACGGGGGAGGGGGGAGGAAGGAGTGAGGCATACTTAACTAATCACAATATGTATTCTTTACAAATTATAACGCATATACAGCTACTTTTTTTTACATGTATTAATTTAATTTAGATGTAAAAGTTCGTATCAAGAAAATAATATTTAAAAAAGTATCTCCTAAAAGCATTATTGTTCCTGAAATAAACGTGCCTTCGAGTACCATTTAATTATAATTTCATAAAGTTTTTTTTTAATTAAATCTTAAATTGCAGTAAAAGTGGTTATTTTACTAAATTAGTATTCAAAAATATCTATTTCGGTTTCCTTTACGGGGAGGTCGCTAAAGTGATAAATTAGTGCATTAAAGTGATAAATTAGCAACCCAACATAGATAAATAAAAGCATTCGGGAAAATTCCTTGGTATATTTGAATCTGTGGTTTTGGATAATTGTACTCATTCTATTGCCTTAAATTGCAATTATATCGGAAATAAGTTTTAAAAAATTAATTAAAATGTGGGATGCAGACCACCACAATGTACTGTCAGAAATTATATTTCCCGTTCTATCAGCCGTGGGTCTACTCAAGAGGCGGGAGACCCTCCTAGGGCACACCCATGCTTTATAAAATAGATGCCTGATCCATTAGAGAGGGAAAAACGAGGCCGTTGATCGTGATTCACATAATCTACTGTACGACAGACAGTTAATAAAGAAATTTTACAATGTGTTTGTTTGTTTCGATGTCTAGGCGAAAAATATTCTGGTCATCAGGGCTCGATCAACTAAATAACACTACTTTTATACTGTTTAGATGGTTGGTACAAAAAAAAAAATTTACAGAATAAAATAAATAAATTTAATAATTAACACTTACAGATAATAAGATAGAATAGATACATAAATAGACTTTTAAAAATAGCAATAAAAACAATAAATGATTTGATATTAATAAATAAATGAACTTTTATATTTAATAATATAAATCTGCAAAAGATCACTAGTTATAAACTTGTCTTATATGTTTTTTAAGTTTTCCATTGTCTAGGAACTTCATAACTTTGGTAATGATATATTTTAATTTACAATTCTTGATTTCTCTTACTTTTATTTTACTTCATTTATTTTACAATGTTATCGAGTATTGAACCTAAAATCCTATAGCAATGTCACATTATTTTAATAAATTATAATACATTGTTACAAATAAATTATTTGAAACACATTATTAATGTTAGTTATTCTATTTATTTTTTTTTTAATTTCATCTTCAACTGTTCTGTTTTGGTTCATCTCACCCATTTTTTTAACGACACTCTCTTTTAAGAGGCCATATCCTGTCCTGTCTCCTACACGTTTCTTTCATTAGAGCTCCAGTTTACCTCGTTTTTTTCTGTATAGTTCCTAATGCAATTATTCTTGACTCTTTTCTTGCACGCTTATCTAGAAATCATTATTTCGTCGGTTATTTCTGAATTCTTATTCTTGCTTTACCTTGTTATTTCGAAACTAACATTTCAGTACAGTATTTTTTTTTATACAGCATGATAAGAAATGGCTCATCGTACATACATTTCTGTTTTGAGAACACTTTTTCTTATATTATTTTCAATAAAGAAAACAAACGATTTAGCTATACCATATACCAAAATTATTAAATTAAATTTCTAAAATATTTAAATCAGCGACAATTTATATGATATCGAAATAGAAGGGAATGTGTTTGAACATTTAGGTATCTAGGGTCTACGTTATCTAGAACAAACAAAATTAAAGAGGAGATTCAGGTTAGGTTGAAGGGAGAGAATGCTTGTTATTTTCTTTGTCAAAACTACTGTTTTATTAACTCTCGCCTACTGTCCCGAAATTTAAACATCACAACTTTCACTTACTTTTCTTAGCAGAATTAAGTATTTTCAGACAAAGGGGGATTGAAAGTAAAAATTATAAACGCTATATTGATTTATATTTCATTGTGGATATTTTTATTTGTTTAAATACCCTTATATATATACATTTTAATATTTATGTCGCTGTAATGTACACAATAAAATCTTAAATAATACCAACGAAAACATTTAGGAAAATCGCATATGTATAGGTACATAATATTGTCGGAGTCCATACTATAGTAAGTTCATGCTTCGGGCGAGATAGGGCGCGCTCGTATTGCTTTGTTCCTGCATTACAACTATTCTCTATTACGATATCTTATTTCTCCTTTAGTTAATTATCAAATTCTTTCCTATTTTATATTTAACAATTTTTTAGATTATAGATAATTGAGAAATGGTCAATTATTTAAAAAAAAAATTAATAAAGGTACTTTAGAGGAAGCTAATATTGAAAATTAGCCATTTAAGCCCTGTTAGAGAAGATCAATGAGAATAAAACTTACATAATATGAAATAATGCTTAAGTTCACACTGGTGTAATGAATTTAATCAAAATTGTTGGAGCCGTTTTCGGGAAAATAATAAAAATATGTTTTATCCGTGATATAAAGTGCCACTTCCGGTTATCCGATTTTGACGACAAAGTGGCTGTAACATCTCAGGTATATACAAACCTTAAATATGCAATTTAACTTTCATAATACTTTATGTTTTTGACATAGATCTGTCACAGTCACACACAAACAGACCATTTTGTGGCAACGGTCATTGGTTGGACGCTGCCATTGGCAACGCTTGAACACTGATGACCTAGATGTTTTGCATGTATAACATCAAAACAATCAACCAACCAGACCATTTTGCGAGACTTGGTTATTTGGACTTAGGTGACTTCAAACACGTATTTCTGTTGAACACTAAGATTTAAAAATTTTCACGATCGCATACTGTCCTTTACTATATATTTCTTATATAGGTAAGTGAAAGTAAAAAATTAGTATTTACAAAACGATTATCCTTCTTACGGTTCTTTACGGATGCGAAACGTGGCCGCTCACATTAAGGGATGAGCAACGTCTTAAGGTTTTGAAAATAAAGTATTAAGCAGAATATTCTGACCGAAAAAGGACGAGTCAACCGGAGAATTAGGCGGTTTCACAACACTGAATTGCGCGAACTGTACCCGGTTGATATAATTGATATCATTAAGTTGAGGCGAATAAAATGGGCATGTAATATCGCCGGGGTTAATAACAAAAGAATTCCAAAAAAGTTAATGTACGCTGTGCCAACTGGCTAGCGTCCGAGGGGTAGACCAAAGCGAAGGTGGGAAGATGCCGTGGAAAAATTTGGACATCGATTGGTGGTATCGGCATCGGACCTAAGTTTTATTATTATTATAAAATATTTAATATTTTCAAGCAAATTAGCATATTTGAACAGATTTCAAAATTCAACTTTATATATTTGTTATTAATTTTTTTAATTTTTTTTTTTATTTTATCTACATATCTGCTGTCATTAGTGTGGAGTTTTTTTCCCAATATCTTAATCCACAAAATCTACGCCTTAATCCATTATTTTTTTGTTATTCATTGTCATTATTATCCATTAATTCACTTACACCCATCTATTAAGAATATGAAACATATTGAGAAAATAAAAATTTTAACATTTAAAAAACGTTGGCCTTTTTTAGACTTAAGTTAGAAATATATATCCTGGTCGAAGTATTATCCATGGATGAGATTTTTGCGTAGAATACTGGCAAAACGATATACAGAATGGTAAATATCATATTTGTAATTCAAATTAATTTTTTTTTTTAGAAATATACTTTAAAATTGAATTATTGTATTACAAATTATCTTAAAATATAATAATATTAATAATTTTTCATGATGTAATATGGAGCTCATTTTTTTTCTTGTTTAATATATCGCAATCTAAATTTGTTTTATCACTCAGCATTGCAAATATCACTCAGCAAAAAAAAAATAGTATTTCCTTATCTATATTACGAGATTTTGAAACTTTTTCTATTTCTATTTAACTTTTTGTCACTTCCCTAATTTAAAGAAATAAATATGTACAATCTTAATTAAGTTTGACAGAATGATGAATTGTGTTTCATAACTTTGTATAGCAGCTTTGTTATTCATTTAAATAAAACAATAATT